AATAAGTGCTAGTCTCACAGTGATGAGAAATATAGTGGAGAAAGAAAATTCATGTGATAGCAAATAAACTTCAGTGGACCATTAAAAAACACCTCATGAAAAGAGTTTTGTGAGTGGAAGAAATCTAGGTTTGGCCTCACTTTACTCACACAGCATGTTTCCACTTCATCAGAAACAGCCCTTACTGAAGAGGAAGACATTTTCCACTAGCAAAATAGCACTCTTGGTTTTAAGCCAATGTTTCTAGAGTAGCCGGTAAAATAAGGCGGGATTGTAGAGGGCAATAAGGGAGAGTTTGCAGTTTCTTCATTTGTAGGGGTTGCATAGTTTCTGTATTGAAAAGAAAGCCCAATATTTAAAACATAAATGCCCATTCAGATGTTCCCCCTCACATGATTAATGATTGCATGTGAGAGTATAAATATGGGCCTCACGCACTGATCCCACACTGATCCCAAGCTGTTGTCTATCAGTTTCACCTCTCTGCCATTCATGTGTTGAGAGATGTTTCTATAGGGGAGAGACTCCTATTCACAGGTAGACTCCCATCAAGATGTAGAACCCCGAAGTGAAACTCGCATTCTGCTTCCACACAATGATTGATTGAGGGATAACTCATGGAGGGGGCTAAAGCTTCCATGCTGGAAAACAAAGCAAAACAAAATCCTGGGGGAGTGGGGCAGGATTATGCTAGCTTACTTTCCTCCATATTTCTCAATAACTTCAGAATAGCACCTGCTCCTATGTGCATAACTGTACCCTTCGCCTCCCTAACCTCATGCTGGATTCCATTTCATAGTTGAGAGTGACACAAAAGTCTGTTGTAAATTAGACTTTATAGATAGATTAGATGTGTTTATGTCACACATGGTGTTTTTGCAGTTGCCTCCACGATCAAAACAAATACATTCCTATCTGCTTGTGTGAAGAATGAGATCTGGGATTCTAACATCTGTTAGCCAAGACTGGAAGACAAACCAATGGCTATATTTTGACATATTAATTCTTCCATTATAGTCAGCTGCTGGTTGCTTGGGAGCTTCTTAGCAGGAAAGAGTTAAATAATGAGTGACTCACAGATGCTGTGCTCTCAAGCTGCCAAACCAATGAAATATATGCCATGTATAAAAATGAACTGATGAACTGAAATGAAGGTGTTAATGAAATTAAATGTCATCGAAGTTAAAGCTGGAAGGTAGATTGATTTATGTAGATAAATAACTATATGGACTAAAGGCTTTAATAGTTTAATGTCAGAAATTAGAAGACACAGAAATAACAGAATAATTTTAATTATGCAGAGGAAGGGATTACTTGACATTTGAATAAATATACTGAGCTAAGTAGACTAGTAGTGTTGAAAACACTTCTTATATGCTCCAGTTTCAGCTTTTTTCCTATGACCTGGAAGTACTGAAAGCTACCAAACCAAGGCCTGCCAGTTGCCTTTCACGGTAACATTTTAGCTAGCTTAGCTTAAAAAGAAGAAGAAGTTGAAACTGGATTTAATTCTCTCTCAACTTTTAACAGAAAACATAAATAGAAGTTATAATGCAGTTCACTTATTATTTCCTGTTGCAGAACATGACATAAATGTTCAGCGACGTGACCTGATCGGCCATTCGTATTTGACTTGGGTCATGTCTGGCTAAGCCTTGAAAGGGCTTCTCAGTCTTTTGGCTAAGGTGAAGTGCTGCTTCTCAGTCGGTGGAGCATGAGACTCTTAATCTCAAGGTTGTGGGTTCAAGCCCCACAATGGGTGAAAGATTCTTGCATTGCAGGGGGTTGAAATAGATGATATTTATGGTCCCTTCATTTCAACGCTACAATTCTGTGATTCTAGCACAGCCTCTTTTGTGATGGTACTTACTGGTCCAAAGTACCATCACTCCTGTTTTTCCGTGCCTGTGGGAGCCATTATGTGCTAGCAGCCCACAGTACGTTTATCAAAAAATGAGTCCAGCCACCTTTTACCAAAAAAGGCACTGATTCTAGCATATCCTAGTGCACCAGGCAGGGAAGGTGGAGATGCTCTAAACATTTATTTTGTAATGTGGGTTCTATTCACAGAAATATCACACTTCATTTTCTTTTAAGAAACTCTTTTCCTACTGCCCTTTCCCCCTCCTATTCCTTCTAATAAGCCTCTAGAACACAAACAACAGTTGTGGTAATACTGCTCTCCCTTGATTGATAGTTATAAGGATTACTGAGGTAGTATGTGGCGAGTCATTAGAAAACCTCTAAAACAATATATACAGTGGTACCTCGGGTTAAGTACTTAATTCGTTCCGGAGGTCCATACTTAACCTGAAACTGTTCTTAACCTGAAGCACCACTTTAGCTAATGGGGTTTCCTGCTGCTGCCGCACCACCGGAGCACAATTTCTGTTCTCATCCTGAAGCAAAGTTCTTAACATGAAGCACTATTTCTGGGTTAGCAGAGTCTGTAACCTGAAGCATATGTAACCCGAGGTACCACTGTATATGGTTTGTTGTTGTTATAGTTAAAATAAAAATTGTCCTTTATACCTTGTTTAAAAATTGGAAGCATTTTGGTGATTATGCAAATATCAATGGGGAGCACAACTGCAAATAGGGTAAATGCATTTATCCCATTTTTCTTCAAAGGAACTCAAGGCACCACCTTCAATTTACATTCACAAGAACCTTGTGAGGTAGGTTAGACTGAGTAACAGGCTCAAGGTTACCCAGTAAGTTCCATTACGCCACATTGGTTCTTGTGAAAGTGCAGAGGTGTGCTCTGTTGTTGTGCCACAATCTCCCCCTCCCCCTCCCCGTTTACTGTCAAATCAAGAACAGCAAGCATTATTGAAGAAATCTTTAATTTATATTTTAAATATATTATGCAAATTTCTGCTGTCCAGCAAACATGGAACTTAGATTAATCTTTTAATCTTTCTTCCTGGAGTAGTATGCCAATAACTAGCAATTTACAAGCTCTGCAAATCTGGAACATTTATATAGATTATAATTGTGCAAAATACTCTTTCACTCAGGAGTTAACTGAAGTAAAGGAACTGCTGAGAACAATTCACTGCCATAGTTCTAAACTAGCAAAGCAATTTTAGCCACTGCTGAAGGCTGGGAAATGGGAGTTCGGATGGAGTCAAGAGATCCCCAGTATGCCCATAGAAAGAGTCATAGGTGTCGATTTATGACTGGCAGTAGGAGCTGAAATAGCATGTGTCAGAAGCAGCCTTGGATGCTCTGAATCCAAAGTCCATTCATTCCTGCAGTATGCCTACAAAACAGACCCCCAAACTATTCCAGCCTAGAGCTACCAAAGGTATTTTCCATTACGTTGGTGTCAATAGGTAGGGAAACAGTCACAAAGAAATAAATTTCAGGGAGGGAAGGGTGCAACTGTCTGCAACAGAGAATTCTAGAAGCATCACCTTGTGGTGATTTAAAACAAGACCTGTAGACATCAACAAAGAAATTGAATAACTGGATATTCTGCTGAGGTATCACCAGTTCCTTGTTTATCTTCTCATGCATATAAAGCATGAGATTCCATTTTCTTATGAAGTTATATTTTTTTCCAATGGTTGGACTTCAAAAGATGTCATATTGTTGACACCTTGGCCAATATAGGAAGTGGTTTCTGTTCCAGATACAGCTATGGAACTCTTTTCAATACAGTACTCAAAAAGAAAAGAGACCAAAATAATCAGGGTGACGGATATGAAGAAAACATGCCCCATATATAGCAGTATAAAACAGCCATAACTTGCCGTCATGGAAAAGAATCAACTCTGAAAGGAAATCATTTCTCACTGGCAAATGGGATTTCTTTCAGCAAACTGACTTTTCACCGTTTTCGACAATGTGTCAACTTCTTTGATTATGGAGTCTGAAAGTGATGTGGGGTTTTTTTTTGGGGGGGGTTAGATTACTATGTACTTTTCATATTGATGTTCAGGCTTTGTGCTCTTGTGGCCCAAGGTTACCAGAAAGAAAGCTCTTTCAAATCTAAGATCTATTATTTGGCTGCAGTGAGTTTGGTATCCATTTTATTAGTACGATTACTCATATTCAGTTCACGCTGGGAACCAAATCGTAGTTACAAATACAAGGCTAGATTTCATTTGATTAGATGCCTCAGTCTTATCCACAGATGATGATAGAGTTCGTAGCCATATCGTTCAACCTGCTACCTTGCTATATTATGAGGCAAAATTTCCCATTCCTAAGAGATTCCTACCAAGACTTTCATATGACAGAGAGTCATAAATACATGCTGTGACTAGTCCCACATCAATCTCTTTGGTTTGTCTCACTAAACACAAACCCCACAAATCCTACCTCCTTGTTTCTTCTTCCACTCAATAATTGCTTCACCTTTACCACTTTGCTACCCTGCTCTCACTCCTTGTTGTGAAATGGTCTCTGTGTGATTAACAACCCAACCATGTGAAATTCTAGTCTGTTTTCAGAGTGAACTGCAGTCACTGCAATATCAGTGCCCTGTCACGACTGCTGGCTCATTTTGGAGGAAAGGTGGGGTATACATTTAATAAATAATAATCATGTGCCACATCAGTAAAATATTGTGGCCCTTGAAGTATGGATCTGTGCAATTGCAGCAGACAACTACCATGACCATGGTCATATGCGGGGCAGTGATACCACCCAAAGTCATTCTGGAGCTAAAGAAAAGGACAAAGGAACACTTCACCTAAATGCCTTTGTGGGTATCATAGCAGCTACAACTTCAGAACTCCATGCAGTTGAGGAAACATTATATTATGGAGTTGCATAGGCCAGCAAGTCTCACACAGAATACCATTTTAGCAACGTCGGCAGCAAGCCACTCTATGCAGTGTGCACAGTGTACCTCTGCAGGCCTTTAAGATCAGGGCATTAATGCTACAAATTACTTTCCTTCCATTATGCGTCTCTTTTCAGAAATGCTGATTACTTGAAAGCACTCAGTGTGTAGCCAAATTCTTCTAATTCCTTGTGTTTTATTTTAGGTAATACTGCCAAGGTGTTCATTGAAGTACAGGATGAAAATGACCATGCTCCTGTCTTCACAAGAAAGCAATACATAGGAGGTGTGTCTGAAGATGCTAGAATGTTTGCTTCCGTGATGAAAGTGAAGGTGAGAATTAAACAAGCACATGGCTGAGGTCCAGAGTCCTGTATCTTGGATGTCTAAATATTATATGTTCACTTGGATGGCCTCAAAAGGTGCAACTTTGTAAAGCAAATCCACCTGCCTATTCTAACACTTAGCTTCAAGTCTATCAGGATGCCATTTGGTATGTATACAGATATTTTGTTATTTATGGGTTTGAAGGTTTGCTTGTGAAAAGAAATTTCAGAACTGATTCAATATACAATTATTTATAATTCCTAAATAATGAATTATAGCTATTCATTTATACTTACTATAATACTACAGTATTATAGTATTATTATAGTGTAGTATAATTAATACCATAATAATACTTTTTAAAGGCATGCTTATGTGTCAGTCCTGATAGAGGAGGTGCTAGGATTTTGGTACTGGCATGAGATTCTAACTGGGGCTAGCTCATGGGAAATTGCAGCTCCAATGCAGCAGCGGCTGCCACTACTGTTACATTGACTTGTCCTTTTTTACAGTTCCACATAGAAGCACTTGCCCTGGTGTCTTTGGTGGTGGTGGTGAGATAGGCACCAGAGGCACGGCAAAGAGTTTGAACGGCTGTCCCCAGTCTAGGAGCTTTTCTTTCCACCATCTTGTGATCCCTGAAGGAAAAGCACTTTTCACATACCAATACTAAATCATAAAATTAAAATAAGGCTTTGATCCAAGCATCCATACTTGCATGTTAACACCATCAAAATCAGTAAGAGTTGCTTCAGAGAAGATGGCATGGATCTCAAGAACCATGAATGCCGTTAATTTCATGGAAATGGATTTTCTTATCCCTGACTCCCCTCCTTCTCCCTCTACAGCCATCTTTACCCTTGAAAAGCCTCTCCAGAGAGCTGAGAATATTACAGGGGATATTGGGGAAGGGGGTGGGTCCGAATTGGGCAGAGGTCCTTCCACTAAGGCTATTATATAAAAATATTTTTGACTATTTTTTTATACATACAAAAGCATAAAATTGCCCTAAAATCAGATTCACTACTTGATATTCGTATACATTTTAAAAACTTGTATACCAGGGTGTTGCATTTGAAGAAAGTAGGGGGAAAGATAATGGGGAAAGCACCATATAAGCAAGTATGTTTATGAAGAGATTACATGTGACTAGAATACACTTATGTGTGTCCTTTTCTATCTTCCTCATCTTGCATTTTGTGCAGTCAACATGGGGAACAATCTAAATTGCTGACAGGTTTGTTGAAAAGTGTCCATGGATGCCTGGCCTACCAAGAATTCTCTTATTTGGACCTGATTTAGGGAGCTAGAAATCTAATGGAGAATGACAGCAGTTTATTAAAGAGGCCCATTATTTTCCCTCAAGGTAGTTCTTCATAATGTTAACTCAGAGGTATTATGGTTAGGTTAAGATTTAGAGGAGGGGAAGAAGTATGCTCTCATCATTCATATTTTCTCACTGTCTCTGACAGTAGCAGCAGGAGACAGGAGGCCTATTGGGAGGAAATCTACATCCAGGAAAGCAAACCCTGAAATCAGAAGGGCTAAGCAGGAATCATTATAGCTTAAGAAGTGGGCAGAGGATATTAGGAGTACTTGATTATCCATAAATGTGCTATAGAAATGTACAATCACTGGATTGACTATAGTCAGAAGAATAAAAGTGCTCGTATCACAGAGAATTAAACTACTGTTGTAATTTCTATTTACAGCCAGTCTGTAGTTATAATAAGTTGCCATAAAGAAACCCATCAGTTCCATCCTCTTGCTCACCAATGTAAAAAGAATGAAGGCATTTCTTATCCACAGAAATGTGTTCCATTAACAAGAGATGGTTGAGCCAAATTTGGCTGAATTCGATTGCAGCCCTATATATGATTGAGTTCAGTGGAGCTTACATCTGAGTAGACATGCATAGAATTGCACTATTCATTAGTAAAAGCCCAGCTATCATCTCATACGTCACAAATGTGGGCATCTTACTATAGTGGGTTTTGTTTCTTTGTTTGTTTTATTTTAGATTTATGACTGCTTCTTTCTGTATCTAACTGTCACCCAACTTTCTTTTTAACCCTAAAATAATGACATTGATTATGACCATGTCATGTCTCTGATGTTGGCCACTGTATCATCTACTGCCAGTGTGGTGTAGTGGTTAAGAGCGCTAGTCTTGTAATCTGGGGAACCGGGTTCGCGTCTCCGCTCCTCCACATGCAGCTGCTGGGTGACCTTGGGCTAGTCACACTTCTTTGAAGTCTCTCAGCCCCACTCACCTCACAGAGTGTTTGTTGTGGGGGAGGAAGGGAAAGGAGATTGTTAGCCGCTTTGAGACTCCTGAAGGGGAGTGAAAGGCGGGATATCAAATCCAAACTCTTCTACTCTTCTTCTTCTTATACCATTTAATACCAGTTGCTGAATACCACAAGTGAGGAGAGCACTATTACATACAGGTCCTACTTGTGAGATACCCATAGGCATTTAGTTGGCCATTGTGAGTACAAAATGCCGGATTAGGTGAGCCTCTTATGTTCTGTCTAATTTTTGACCTCTTACATCTGACCTTCCACATTTTGCCTTATAGACTTTTACAGAATTTAGCACTCTAATCCTAAATTTGTTTACCAAAGGAATAAACCCTTCTGAGCTCAGTGAGACTCACTTTTGAATAACCATTCTTAAAATTGCAAGTAAATAATCCAAAATATAGGTTGACTTTATTCCATCCCAGAAGCCATTATAGTAAAGAGAGAGATTTTGACTCAACTATTGAAACAGCAATCACAAAACAACCTTAACTGTACGTATATTCCATGTTTATACAAAAAATCACCATACACATCCATTATGTAGGGAAAAGAAGATCAATTTACTTGATCCATGAAGTGCATTTTGCAAGTTGATTGACTTTTACCCCTTCCAAACAGTAAGTCTTTTAGAATGAATGTAAATGAAAGTTGTATCTGTACCTTTTCCAAAGAATTGTCTCTCTAGATAGGTAGCAAGAAAGTACAGAACAACTAAATCTGCAGGTTACATAAAATCATGAAATGAATAACAACCCTGCAGTTTATTTCTCCTTCACTATTGCATAACATTACAAGGCAGCAAATGAAAAGAAAGCAAAAAGTAACTATAAAATACCCTGCCATGTTTATGTGTCTAGACATAAGTTAAGTTTTATGTAACTAGACTACAAAAATAATGTTCTCAGAAATGGAAAAGGGCACTTCTGGCTTAAAATTTCTTTAAAGTTCTACATTGTAATTTAGGATTCTGAAGTTCATAATTGTCCTCATTAAATTGGAGAAAGCAGTATGCTTAAAATCAAGTCAAGCCTTCTCAACCAATGTCACTTTGACCCTGAAGTTTAAAAATTGCATTAATACCAGTATCAAAGAAATTCATTGCATACTTATAGTTAGTTTTGAAGATGCTTGCATTTGAATGTAAAAGCAAGTCATGCCATTGTAAATTTAACAGCAAAGATCATTAAATGTGCACTCTTTAAAATAAGATGTAAGGGGAAAGGTACTTGATCTTTTAATGCGCAAGAGGGATGCTCCAAAACTTTGCTGACGTATGGATGTTTCCTTCTTATTGCTATTACTAGGAGTTTCTCAGCAGTAAAACAGCAGGTCATTGACAATGATAAATCTAAGCAAAAAAACGAATACAACCAATTAGGAAATATAGGCATTGCCACAAATTTGTGGGGAGTTTTAACTCTTCCAAAGCTTGCATATAGTGCATTCTGAATACTGTAAAGCTGTTAACCCTCAGTTGGGCTATTATTCATTTAGGGAAAATAAATGATAAAATACAGTTAGTTTGGAAGTGCCTTCTGTTGAATTTCTGCAGATGAATTTTATTTAATTGATGAAAGTTAGATCACAAGTCTTGAAGTAATTATACTGATTAAGATTTGCCTTCCATAATTATTATTTTTTAAATCATACTTCACAACAGGTAAAACATCTCTGCATTCAAACATAGAAACATAGCAAGTAAAAGTATTCACAGATACTGCAATCATCACTAGTATTTTATCAGGGTAACGGAGGCACAGGAGCCATTTTTACAGTATTGTTATCCTGGGAAATGAGACTCGGTGTGGCACTGGATATTCAGATCTGTAGGAATTTAGCATACTGAGTTAAATGCCTATTTCCAAAATGCCTGTCTCTTGTTGCATGGCTATTTTACTTCAAGTTAAAAAGTTGCAAGAACTTCTTTATTCTTGCAGTAGGCAGTATTATGATGAATGCACAAGGGAGATCTGCTGAGTAAGAAGGTATCATTTTTACATTGTCTGTTTTCTAGTAGATTTGTACTTTGGAGACTCACGAAAGTATATATATAAAAAAGCCAAACTGGGATCAAGAAACCCAGAATTAAAGGGGACTGGGAAGGCACAATACAGAGCGAGGTGACACACTGAAGAAGTAAAACCATTAATAATGAAGGGCGGTATGAAAGACGAATGGAGGCTGTAGCTGCCTTACCTGAGAAAAGGAATGAGGGTGCATTGTGTGATTCATGACCCTTGCTGGGAATTTTAGGGGCAAAAGATGGATTGGGCTTAAGAAAAATGTCCAGTATATAGAGTGGCAACTGGCAAAAAAAAAGCAGGGGGAAAAAGAAAGCTTGGAGACAAAAAATATTCTGGAAGAAATTGTAGCAGCCTGGAACAAAAGCAGCTGAGCATGTGGCGCAAGTATCCAGGAAGTAATAGAATTCCTATGCAGACAAGCCAAAGCTCAAACAGGACACAGCAGTAGAGAGTATTGCCATTGGTAAAAGACAAAAGGTCAGGTTTCTGCCATCCATGAATTAGTCAACCTGGACACTTCTTACTGCCTTCCTGAAAAGCCCCAAGTCACCAGACTAGAAACCACCATCAGCTCCACAGTTCCAGCTCACAACCCCAAATTCCAGAGGGGAAATCACAAAGACACAAGGCTCCTCCAAACCATCTATGAGCATCTATGATTATTTGTCTTCATGAT